AGGGAACTTTATGGGGTGATGGAAATGTGTTCTATCTTGACCAGGTGAAGACTACAAAACTGTACGTACATTTGTCAAAACTCATTGAACTGTATGTTTAAAAATGGGTGCATTATACTATATGTAAATATACCTCAATTTAAAATAATTTTAGTAAAATAAGGGCTTTAGGGCTGAATGATTCTAAAAATGCTTTGGATCTAAAATCCTGGGTTTCTCCGATTGCGATGTGGAATAACCCGCAGAGCTATTTGGTAACCGATGTTAGGAGGAGGTGCACTTAAGCCTGTTGCAGTGAGGGCTTCGACCAAGTCTCTACTGTCCTCTCCCCTCACATGGCAGCAGTGCGTACGTCCTGCTTCAGAAGGCATCCGCCTGCTCCAGTGTAGGCAGGACATTGGTAGCCTACGATTGGTTTTCAGCCATTTGAGTTTTAATGGTGGCTGCCACAGACCTGCCAAGATACCTGGAACTTGTCTAGTGGGTGTCACTATTGTCAGTGGGAGCAGGTGGAAGGCAATTAACTAATTTAATGAACAAAAATCACAAAGAAAACAATGATGAGAGGGAGGTGGAGAAGAGAAAGCACCAAGGAGTCAGTGACTACCCGGAATTACAAACATGCATTCTGTCACAGAATCTTTATTTTACACATTTGCATCACAGCGAGAGGATTTATCCCACACATCGCCCTGGTCTGAGCCCCCGCCCGTTATATGTTTACATAAATACTCTTCAATGGTCATTAGTGTTAAAAAAAAAAAATACCGAAAACTCCTTCTGCATCCCAATCTAACAAGGAAAGCAAATGATATTTACAGACCTGCAAGCCCTCCATCAAATGAAACTTACTTCTGGTTTAAATATGTCTGACTTCTTTCAAGGTCACATGACTAGGCAAATGCAATCTACAATCTGCAAAAGCTGCTTAAGGAGCCAAGAACCCCCCGCTTGTGGGGACAGGATTTCTGGATCCTGTAATAGTAAGTAAATGCTAAGAAGGCTGACCCTCTGGCTCCCACGTCTGATTTGGCTGCCTACTGCAAAACCTCAAACAATTGCCTCAAAATAAGCTTAGAGTCTTGAGGGTAAGTTAGTTTTTCTGTTTCACTTTGACATTTACTGACTTTATCCAGAATTCCTCCTTCCCAAAATGGCCTGTCTACAGACTTCCTGCCACCAGAATTCCAACAGGTCCCTGACAACACAACGAAGTCCTCGTTCCTCACTTGTCCCCTCCCTCACTGTGCTTTCTCACACAGTACCTCAGGGGATGTGCATGTCCCATGCCCTAGCAGTGAGCCATCTGAAGGCATTTATCTCTTTTTAAAGCATAAACCATGCAGAGAGGACACAGATACATCGACAGACTACAAAAGAGGCCCCTAGGGAATATGGGGAGTGTTCAGCTTGCCAACCAAGAACTACATTCCAGGTGGTGACGAGTATTAGCATCAACTTAGGTAGATGTCTTTTAAAGACTCCCTGCCAGAACCTAGGGAAAACTGGAATAAAGAGGAGATCTTTTAGAACATTTGCTATGTTCCAGATGAATACCTTCTTGATATACCAAGAGGTACTGAGTCCAAAGTCTAACTTCTTTAGTGAGGGAACCATTAACTTACTGAATCCTAAAGGGGAAAGCAAAGCCTAGCAGGCCATGGGCTTCCTGGGCTTAGTGCGTGTGAATCTGTTATAAGGCCAGGAGCAGGTCAGAGAAAGCAAAGGGTGAGGTGTGGAGTGTGGACACAGGGGTGGAGGAGTGGGCTAGGATCTGTGTCCTTTGAAATTCAGCAGCTTGGCAGTGTGAAGAATGAACCGTTCTGCTGTTTTACTGGGTGTATGGAGCGGGGCCAACAATTCATCAGACTGTCTAATGTTCTAAGAGCCTTCCTCGAAGAAAATGCTTCAAGATGGGGGAGAGATGGCCAGAATGCTATTTGTAATTAAAACAAGCACCTTTTACTTTTCCTTTGCCTGTAAGGACTGGTCCTTGCAACAGACTCTTGTAAGTACTAAAGCAAGACATACATTTTAGTGTGGGTAAAGACCATCACATACAGTCCAAAGCAATAATATACGGTATTAGTATGCACTCTCTTGATAAAATTCTCCTTAGCTTAGGAAATACGCCCTTCACAAAGCTGCTGGGAGAAAATGCTGCAATGCACCAAAGCCTTCAGCCCGTATTCCCAGAGCAAGCCTATGTGAAATCAACAGCACAAGCAGAAGCAGGGTGGAGGAGGAGGAAGAAAGAAGGGAAGAAAGATGGAAGGAAAGAAGGAGGGAGGGCGGGCAGGTTGTGGAACAAGACAGAGCAGAGATCCTGATGAGATCATAAAGCAGGAGTGGAAATCTTGCCATAACTGTCACGTGAAGTAGACTTACGAGGCTGTGTGCTGCTTTGGCTGGCTGGACATGTCCAGGAGAAAAAAACCCTGGATATTTTACTCTAAAGTGGTTTCCTGGAAGAAAACTGAACTGACTCATGCCATACTCTGAGAAACCATCTTTTACACTGGAGCAAGCTTCACCTTACAGGAAAATGAGCCACCAATTCACCAGAGTCGTATTCAGCATTATCAAATGCATTGCTACTTAAATTTTAAAGCATTGAGGGACCAAGAAATAGGCTGATGGCCCTTAGCCACTGTTAGGAGCCAGGATTAACAGATCAATGATTGTTCTTATTGCCCAAGAAATAATTTTCTAGCAAAATACACACACTTTATTAAATTTCACAGCCAGCAGCACTTCCAGTCCACAACAGATTTCTCAAAGGAAACATGGATATTTTGCGTAGGCAGAAACAGGGAGTAGGAGTACAAAGTGAAGCTATAAATACCACCAATGGCTCTGCAACATGCACGCGATCTTTTCTGCCCAATCCCTGAAAGACTGCAAGGGCTTAACCGTTCAACACCATATTACAATAAGCCAAAGTGGATCGTGAAAATCAGGCTGCAGGAAGCGGCTTGTGAGTTGGTGAAACTACTTGGTTTTGGACCCCAATTAGCCATCTTTATTCAAGAGCAGAGCTGAACGCTGGGTCACAGCTATTAAGTGATGGAGAAAAAGAAGACAAATTTATAGAATGGAAAGGAGAACTTCAATGATTTCTTAAGGGCTTGGAACCACCACCTGTTTTCCCAATCTTAGACTGGGTTTTTGATTTTTCTTAATCATCTGTCTGACTTCAAACCTTCTACCAGTTACAATATGGGCAGATGACCTGCTAGTTGGGGAAGGCTGTAGCCAGCCTTTACTTTAAAAATACTCCTTTATCTCATCTGTACAGTCCTGTTCCGGAAGCATCAGGACTGTAGAAGTGCAGCCACTCAGCCATTCTGCAAGTGAGCCCACAGGTGTCCTGGTGCTTGGGTTCACAAGCTAGCGTGCTCGTTGAGGCTCTGGCCTTGACTGCCAGGCCCAACAGCGCTTGTCCGCACACACTCTCATCCTCCCTCTCGCTCCTCCACTCACAGGCTTCTTTGCTGGAAAAATCCAGCATGTGAAATGAGGACACCTCCATGGAGACTCTTTCTAGTAGGGAGGTTTCTTGTTCTTGCCAAGGAGTCTATCGCCTGGTCAACAACATCTGCTTGCAGGAGAAACAGCAAATGGGTCCCTGTGAGGGAAGTACCCAGGAGGGCTTTGGTGGTCCCAGCATGAGATACATTTCTGCAGAGCTGGTATTGTGTGTACATGCAGGAAAAGAAAGGGTTTAAAATGTTCCCATCCTCCATCCAATCCCCCTTCTCCTGTCACATAGCTCCACATTACCTTTAAAAAAAAAAGGGGTCCCTTACATGAATACTTAGGACATATTTACCCTTCTCCTGAAGATGAGAAGATACACAAACACTCCCCTAGAATACCTGCCGAGAGACAAGCATCCACGGCCTGGGAAGACACTTGCTCCTCCTCCATAGTAGCCAATAGGGGGCTGAGCAGAGCACAAGGGCTTATGAAAGTGCATAGAAAGGATATCCACTTCCGTGCTGGTCATTTAGGAAGTGAAAGGGCACAGAAGAGAGAAAACAACTGTTTTCTGAGTAAAACCCTTCCAGGTTCCCAAACCTGGGATTGTAAGTGTGACCGCCAAATCCTATGGTTTCTGGTTGACCCTTCTGAGCTGGAGGTAAGAAAACAACTCCAAGAGACTGTGACTGTCCTACTCATCCCCTTCCCCCAGCCCCAAGGCCCCTATTCCTGCAGGTACAGCTCACCTACAAGCCCAGGCAGGGTTGGGCTCAAGCTTCTGGAAGTGACTCTACCCAGCCAGCCTCCTAAGCACTAAGTAGCTTTCCTGCTGGGGCCATGTTTTGGTCTCCTAAGACCTCAAGTCACAATGGACCTTCTGAGTTTGCCCCATCATCAAATGGCTTATCTGTGAGTTGCAATACTGTTCCCTTTAGGCAGCTGTGTTCATCCCCAAGATCTGAAAGTCCAGAAAGGAACTTTCGTGAGTTTCTTTGAAAGACTTCACCATCCCGAAATCCCTGAGAGTAAAACTCTGTTTAATCACACTCATGTTCTTCACATACATACACTCTTGGAATATGGGAACCAAGTCTGTTTCATTCATCTATTTAGAATGCTTACCTAGCCTATAGAAAAAGCTTTGAATGATGATGATTTGCTGTACATTAATATTTGCTTGAATACTACCCTTTTCTGCCCCTAGCTGCTCCTTAAGGAAAATTCCTTCCCATTTCCCCCCAAATTCTGATCACACAAAATAGAAACAAGCTATGAGAGGAGAGGGAAACAAGACAGTGCTGCTCTGGGCCAGCCCGGTGGCGCACTGCTATAGTGCGCCGCTTGGGAAGCATGGTGGCGCTCCCGCCGAGGGTTTGGATCCCACATACAGACCGGCCGCTCACTGGCTGAGCGAGGGGCGGGAGCAACACCGAGGGTTGCGATCCCGTGGCCGGTCCTGGTCCGGTACGGGCACGACACTGAGGGTTGCGATCCGTTGCCGGTCACGAAAAAAAAAAAAAAAAAAAAAAAAAAAAAAAGGAAAGACAGTGCTGCTCTGGACAGCTAGGAGAGCCAGATGTGCAGGGAAATCCTATAGGAGGATGCTTTTTGACCTGTAACATACACATACACTTCTTCCCATCCCTTAAGCAACGTAGAATACACCTCAATCAAGAAACCCATTTCCCACCAGCTGGACTGTGTTCCAGGGCCACGACCTTGACAGTGACATTACAGCCCTCAGAGGACAGAGCCCTTTTAGAAAGAAGACTACTGGGCCTCTAGAGCTGTTGGTTCCTGATCACTTTTAGAATCTGAAATAAAGGTCTGAGGCAAAATTCAGGGCTAGGAATCCTGGGGCAGGTGCTACACACTAAGTTGGGTTTTGACTTTGCTTTCTAGATTAACCTAATTTCATTCATTTTTGTCTCCCAAAGGTGTAATGAGACTGTCCCTTTCCCTCCTTTGTAGTCCCTGTATCATCAGTAGACATGTGACCCTTTCACAAAGCCCTGCTCCCGTACTGTGACTGGCAGCAGACACATGCCTCCCACCCACCTCCCCACCACCAACACCCCTTTCTATGCCACAACACACTTGGGATCATGGCTGCAGATACCTCAGAGCTCCCAATTGTAAAAAAATTTAAATTAAAAATAAATTCCTCCTTCTGTCCTCCTCCCTCTCCTCTATGCTCCCTCCCCACCATGCCCACCTGAAGGAGAATTCTAGCTGCCTATAACCAGCTAAATCCAGTTTCCACAAAAGAGAATACAAAATTAGGTTTCCGTGGCACTTTGCTCCCAGCCATGTGCTCTGTGGTGTCACTGCTGGGAGGTGCCGATAGTTAGTTCACTGTCGGGAACTGCTCTTGCTCACCAATAGACTGTTAATAAATTAAAAGTCTCCTTTGACAGCGTCCTCCTCAGGCTGGCTCCATCACACGGTGCCTTCCCAGTCACCCTGAGGCTCCACAGAGCCATTGGTCACCTTCTTGACTTTCTTCATATTCTCCATCACCCCTAACGTTGTCACTCTGAACAAGGAAAAAAACAGAAAACAGTTCTAGAATCAGAGACAGATTTGGGTTTGAATCCTGGCCCACTCTTTGCTAGCTGTGTAACCGTGGCCAAGTCACTTGACTTCTCTGTGCTTATGTATGATAAATAATTCTCACTTTCCAGAACTGTCATGAGGAGAAAAAGAGATTCTCCAAAGTGCCTAATCAACAAATACCAGCTGTCATTATTACAATCACCATTAATCTCTTTTTGTTATGACCTCCAGAATTTTTACATTGCATATACAAGGGTGCTTCAAAAAGTTTGTGGAAAATGGAATTAAAAAATAATATGAACCTTTCTATGAACGTCTTGAAGATCCCCCCAGTATAATAATTATGATTATGAGACCAATATCTGAATCATAATTAACATTCAGAAGAGAAAGCTAATTGGCTGTACAGACATTTATAATAACCAACCACAAAGGATCATTTCTGAGTCATGGGACAGAACCACAGGTTTGGAGGAACCTTGCGGGCCCAAAGAGTCTCTGACAACTACAGACAGAGAACTAGCTACTCTCTGCAAATCCAGGCCACATGGCTGTCAGTCAGCACGTGGCCTCTGCCTCCACTCTGTGAGCTCCCGGGGCAGGGGTCTTACTCTGTTGGTGATTCACAGTAATAGAGCCGTTCACCAAACGTGACACTTAGAAATGGAAGAACGCGGGTCTCACAAGGCAAGAGAGGCTGAGCAAGGCAGCTCTCTACATCACAGTGAATACCAGCCAGGTTTATGAGAAGACAACCTCCTACCTCACAAAAGGTGACCTGGATAGGTTCTAAGGTGTCCTGTATTTATGAAGGAACTGGGGGCTCCGTAAGTAGCAGCAGAAACCAAGCAGAGATTTTGAATGTCAAAAACTACCTGGCCTAGCATCTCCCTAAGTGTCTACAGAGGAAACAATGAGGCACTTGTATTCCCCCATCATGGACCAAAAGGAATTTCCTAATCAGTGAAATAAATTCAATCAACTCTACAGAATCTCTTCATGGACTCAGCTTATCCCTCCGCCAACTACCTAATCCCTTCATCTACAAATGGTGACACACTGGCCTTATATGTGACACAACTAGAGTGCGCCCACCTGCACTTCATGGTAAATAAATGTTTCTATGAGGTAGGTGAAAAAAAACTTTCTCCTTTCCTTCCTCCTTCATTCCTGCCACCAAGTTGCTGCTGTGACCAGGCCTCAAAGCCATCCAGTCCTCCCCAGAGTTGGGACTTTTCTCAACAAGAGTCCCTCAGACTCACAGGTTATTTGTACCTGTGGCAAAGCTGGGACAAGGTATATTGCCAGAATGTGGTTCTCAAGGGAACTAAGATTCCCACAGGTGCTGTCAGTGAGAGTAAAGGCACCCCCAAGACAAAGGAGATGCCTCAACTGAAACCACCCCGCATCACGGCCTGTCAGCTGGTTCACATATTAGGCCTGACCTCCTTAGGAAGAGATCACACTTTCCCCAAGAGGAATCACGGCACACTGGGCTGCTCCTGAAGGGACAGGGAGGCAGTGCCTCCGCATGAGCAAGAGAACCATAGCCTTCCAGCTCCAGCACAGCAGACCCTCCACACCTGTTTGGATCAGAAGGAAATGCAATCTCTAGTCTTTCAGTAACACTCCCAGTAATAATACAACTATCCTATCATTAAAGCACCTTGTTACCAAAGGACAAGGAGTTCACCACACAATGACACTGAGAGGCCGAAGCACATTCACTGTGACTCGAGTCTGACAGCAGGCTTGGGGAAAACATTTTCTACCTTGCTTTCCCTGAGAAAATAATCCTTTCCAGGTGATGGTCTAATTGAGAAAACAGCTTTTATTCTCTCAAGACAGGCCTGGTGCTAAGTCCCAGAGGAAAAGAAAAATAGGACTGTTGCTCTTAGGGAGCCCACAGCCCAGTAGAAAAGCCAGTCTTCCAGAGCATCAACACAAAGCCATTGACAACACACACAGGCGTGCTGCAAGCCAGGCTGGAAATGGCTCCGGGTGAGAAGAATACTCCTGGCTTGGGGAACTGAGGAAGCTTTGAAGCCTGTATTGAAAGATGAGGAGGACCTGGTCAGTAAGATGGAGGGGTGGGAGGAGGGCAGGGAAGTTTCTGGAAAGAAGGCAAAAGGCATGGAAGAAAAAAAAAGTTTCAGGGATTGCTAAGCAGTCAGGGAATGCTAGGTAGTCACAGCAGTACCTACAGCAGTCCGTGAAGGAAAGAGGCAGGAAGAGTCATGGGTGGACACAGGCAGTCAGGGCTGTGGGCAGCCTCTTCTGCCTGTTACTGATGGACAGACTTGATTCTTATACCAGGGGTTCTCAGCCTTGGTTCTAGCTCAGGATACCAGAAGGAGTTAGAAAGCATAGATACCTGAACTCTAGGCATTGAGAATCAGAGCCTCCAGGGGAGTGGCTAGGGAGCCTACCCTTCAAAAGCACTCTACAAGTGATTCTGGCAGCCCAGGAGAATGGACAGGAAGGGAAGACCAGAAGTTAGGAAATCAGCCATCACAAAAGCAGGGGCACTGGGAGAAGGGGGCTGGGGGTAAGAGAAATGAAGTTAGGCCTACAAGATATGGTCACTCACTCCACACAGGCTGAGGAAGAGGGAGGTGCTTTGGCCAACACCCACATTCTGCTGTTGGTGACTGGGTGGATGGCAGTACCATTAAGGCCTGTGGAAAATGCAGGGAGTGTCAAGCTTGGGAAGACTGCAGTTTCAAGTCTGAGATAACAGTGAGCAGGTGGGCCTGAAGCTCAGGAGAGGCGAGTGGGCTGGAGCTGGAGGTTGGGGAACGCTCAGTGAAGAGATGGAAGAGGTGGCTTTGGGCATGGATGGTGCTAGGAATAAGAGGGAGAATGGGAATAAGGGTACATGGGAGCCCAGGAGGGTGTCAGAGGTGGGGCAGGTGGTGGTGGGGTTCAGCATGAAGCCAGGACTGGGAGCTGCTGAACTGATGAAGTGAACAGAAGGAGATGAAACCTGACGGCAGATACTGGGGGTGAGCTGGGGTAGGGGACGACAACTACATCCTGTTTCCCCAGCAACCTTCTGGGAAGTTAAAGGGACATCTGGGGCCCAAGTGCTGTGGACTTGGTGCCAGCCATTCTCCTTGCAGCTCCAACACTACAGCAGGGGGAAAGGAGACCTAGGTTACATTAACACCCTAAAGCCTCCCCAGCAGGGATACACAGAGATGGAGATTCAGCAACTTTGCAGGCACCTCCCTGGGTGTCCTAGTTTCAGAGCCACCACTGAAGGGGACCAAACAGCTGAAGAGCCAACACACAGCCAGCAACCTACACCCCAGATAACCATTTTCAAATGCCATACAAGCAGTACAGAAAGGTGCTCTACAAAGCTCAGGTTAAGCAATGGCTGCGGTGATTTGCAGTGTAAACTCCATCTCAGAGGCTCTAGAGACAGGCTGTGGAGCTGCCCAGGTCACAGCCCCAACCACTCACTCCACAGACAGGAAGTGAGGCCTGCCCTTCTTGCTCTACTCATTCCTTCTCTGCTGCCTGGTGAGACGCCCTTCCTCTCGCCCCAGGTGCAGACCTCCTTCAGAGCACACCTCCTGTTTCTCACTGTTCCCACACTACCAGTTAGCTCCCTGAGGGCAGGGCTTCTGTACGAGCTGCTACTCCACCACCGCCCAGAGGACTAATGCAGCCACTCACAACCACGCACAAGTGAACTGGCCTCTCTGCCTGCCAAACCCAACATGTGCTTCCAGCAGAAGCTGTTGTTACCTCCAGTGCTGCTCAGGGAAGCACTTCTTTGAGCCACTCCTGACTTCAGGAGGGCACCTGCCTCAAGGGCTGGCAGCTCCTAAGCCAGTCTGAGGCAGGGGGCATCAGCACTAAGCCAAGCAGTGGTGCTCCCTCTTCTAAGCCAAGCAGAGGGACCAGCACAGGTGAGTCTGCAGAGCACAGTGCTATGGGTTACATATGTCCCCCAAAAGTTCACGTATTGGAAACATGACCCCCACTGTAAGAGTGTTAAGAGGGTAGGAAATCCAATTATGGTATCTGAAAGATGGGGCATCTAAGAAGTGATGAAATTTGTGAGGACTGTGCTCTCGTGAATGGGTTGATCCATTCATGGAGTAATGGGCATGGTTCTGATGGCTTTATAAGGACAATGAGTGAGAAAGTTAGTTCTCTCTTGCTCAGCCCATGCACACCAAGTGACACCTTGCATTGCTGTAGAAAGTCACCACCAAGAATAAGGTCGTCACCGTATGCATGCCCTGGACCATGGACTTCCCAGCCTCCAAAACTGTAAGAAATAAATTTCATTTCTTTTTAAATCACCCAGTTTCAGGTATCCTGATATAAGCAATAGAAACAGACTAATACAGATGGAGTGGAGCAGAGAGGTGCCTGCGAGAAGGAATGGGGACTTTATAAACCAGAGATGGAAAGAGCAGACAACCCAGGGCTGCCTCTCATTTTCCTTCTGCATCTAAATGGTGACAACCTCCTCCTTGCAAAGCCCTGAGTCTCTGTGCTGGCAACTAAAAGTGCTGAATGAACACAGGTTCCTTCTGCCACACCAGACTGCAATCGAATGTGGCTTGGGCCTAAGTGGCCTGTGGACACATGTTTTCTGAACTTGAAATGTGGAGAGGCCTGATTAAGAGACAGTTCTTAGTCTGTGACTCCCATTTCCACCTTTGTTCCCCATCCACCCAAATGAATGTAGGAAGAAGTAGAAGGTTAACAGCAACCCTGAGGACAGCACTCTGGAATGCAAACCCCAGGAGACAACTTCCAGCCCTGGAACCCACACCAAACATTTCTTCTTACTCTCACTTTTCAGGATGACAGAAATAATTTAGAACATTGAAGATATGCATAGCACAGGAGGCGGCTACCAAATCTGATAAATTAAAACTGCATCCATTATTTTTTTAATGATAAATTGTTACCAAAATTGGTAAGCCCCAAGAGGGGTGCTGAAAGAAACAGAAGGGAAAGAGAAACTCAGCATAACCTCTGACTGTGCCCTCATTCCCAAGCTCAAAGAGAGAAGCCGTAGTAGGCCTAAGGGGTGACAGCTGTGCCAACTGCGTGCAGGCCAGGGTCCGAGGAGGGTGGAAGAGGCTCCTCCAGAAGCACTCTACCCCAAGGGGAGGGTCTTAGTCCTGGGATCAACAAGCAGGACTGCGCTCCCACAGCCCAGCTTCAGATAAAGGAGGTGAGAACATGGGGAAAAAAAACCACCAGAATCTCAGTCAATAAAGTCAGCGAATGGCCCAGGTCAGAGTTCATGCATCTCTACTGGGTAAGACTCATTAGGAATAGTGTAGATTTGTTTTGGATGGGGGAGTGTGGGGGGCAGCAGGGTGGAAGGCATAAGGAATGTTACTTCCCATAAAGAGGTGCTTTGTCCTGTGGCAGAGATCAGACCTAGCTCCCTTTTTCAGGAAACACCCACTGATGACGGTTTACAGGGAGCTAATGACCTTCCAGAAAACAGAGGCAAGGGCTCTGCTTGCCTCTGGCTTGAGTTATTTCTGGAGGACCTAAGAGGTGCCATCCAGGAACAGCAACCAAGTAGAAGAGAGAGATGACAGCCCTGGGCACTGTGTCATTCCCAAGAAGCTGTAATTAGCCTTTACACTCCACCTGCAGGTGAGCTTGGAAGGCGGGCTGACAGCAGGCTGACAGCGGAGCTGCCGTCTCAGGCCGGTTCTGCTCTGTCACATCTTATCAATCCACAGGACTTTCCCAACAGTAGCATTCTTAGTTAAAGAGAAACCCCAGAAGAACTTCCCAAGAATGATTTCCTTGCTGACTTCAAGGCACTTTGCATCAATCAGTTCCTAAACTACTTCTGTTTCACAGGCTAAACTGAGCTGTGCTCACTGGAAATATCACTGCCCTAAATACATGACTGTCTCTGTAGCTGTTCCACATGCAGTCCTTCTGCCACTGAAGAGCCCACTTCTCTATTACGGTGTGGCTCACACTAAGCCACGGAAAACCACTCAGCATAATCATGCACTCTTCCCCTTGTCTTAGGGCTGTAAGCTTAGGCAACCAAGGGATTCTCCCTGACTCCAACATTCTAACCTTGCCCAAATCTTGCCAGAATAAAGAACACACTGTTTAGTTCCCACTAGTCTGGTGGTCTGTCCATCTACTCCCTCTCCCTTCCCTCCCTTGATTCCCACAAACACCTTCTTGCTAAATTGATCACCATTATCATCAAATATTGTCACAGAAAAACAAACACCAAAAAAATTTTTTAAAATTTTTGCTACGAGACAAAAATACCTTCACCATGCATCCACACTTCAGGATGTAATGGCGGAGGGAAAGGACGTGGGGAACAGGACCCCACACTGCCGCTGTGGAGGACAAGTCAGTAAAGCAGAATGACCCAGTCTTTCAGCTCCAGCTGCCTGCCCCAGAGCAACTCTGCATAACACCGATGGAACAAGCTAAAGGTCTCTCAGCCTGGAACTGGGTAAACACACCAGGTTTTAGGTTACTTACTCATGCTGCTGCTCACCAGGCTGGCTCTCAGTTGTGCCTCTTTAGCCAACAGTCACTTGCTCAGATTCTGCTACTTCCAGATAAGGCATGTCTGATGGTCACCCTGATTTTTTCCCTCTACTGTCTATAAAAAGGTGTTTCTTCCTCTGCACAGGGAGATGTGTTTGGGGCCCATTAGCAGTTTACTGTTCCAACAATGGAGCTGAGCACAGTTATTCCATGCCACTCAACCTGCCTGACAATCAGCAGAGCCTAGCATGGGCCAAATCTCAGCCTTTGAATCAAGAAAAGCCAAAGGCTACCAGTGCTGGGGGCAGTACACTTGATACCAATGAAAAAGAAAGGGGAAAACTCAGCCTTAGGCTAATCATCAAACACAACAATGGCCTATCACATTTCAGAGTAGCAAGCAAATATGCTTAATCACCATTTACTTTTCTAGAAAATGACTGCCCTTTCCCAGAAAATAGGACCCTAGAGTCACTTACCCTGCAGCTCAGAAAACCCATCTTAGTGCTCAGATAAAGGTCAAAGTCATTGTGCTAGCTGTGAAAAGCCACTTAGTTATCTGATGATAAAGGACGTTTGAGGCTCATTAGCAGACTTATGGATGACTCAGAAGATCACATTTTCAGACATAAGTTCCTAATGGCAGAGCCTGACAGGAAGTGGGGTTGCCTGTTCTCAGTAGTTTTGAACTGGCCAAGTATATTCCCAACTTCATGCCACTGAGTTATCAGAAGCAGGCTCCAATGATGCTTACCAGAATGGCAAGTTCTATTTTCCCTGACAAGACTGAGCAATGCTTGGCAGATATTGTACTTCAAACTAAGTAAGACAGCCTGGGGCTCAAGAGTCCACTTCCTTCTGCTAAAAATAGAGGAACCACCTCTGGAGCAACAAAATGCTGAGAGCAGCTGGTCCAATTCACATGTGCTGCTTTTAGTGAGGTAAAGAGGTCGGGGCCAAGGAAGAGAGGTAAGAAAGGAGATTTCTTACACAGATTCCATTTCCAAGTCATCTTCTTCCTGAGAAAGTTGTAGGTAGGGGTTATCTGAAGCTGGACGGAATTTATACCCCGTTAGAACAAAGAATACCAGCGTGGCCATTTCATTCAGGAGCTGTAAGTTTAAAAAATCACCCCAAAATAAAGGAATTAGCAACACTGTTCTTCAGAAAGCAGTGGAACTAAACAAACTGACACATCCCCCACAATCTACCACTCACTGATTACTGAAATGCCAGAGTTTACTGCTAGACAGCATTTTCCTTAGATTTGCTGAAGCCTAAGCCAGGAGCATTCTGCCCCAGAGATGAGTTGAGTTCCTGCTTTAACCTGTCTTCAGTGGTACATATTTTTTTTTAATAATTATTTTAACTTATCAATATTGAATATAGTTGATTTTCGTGTCCCTTTACCAATTCCTCCTTTTCCTCCCTCTCTCTCCCCCCTCCCCCTATCAACATCATATCTGTTCACTTGTCTTAACAAGTTCAAGGAATTGTGATTGTTGTGTCTTCTTCCCCCCACCCCCCGTTCATTTGTATATTTATTTATTTTTATTAGCTCCCACAAATAAGTGAGAACATGTGGTATTTCTCTTTCTTATTTCATTTAATATAATTTTCTTTACGTCCATCCATGTTGCTGTGAATGACAGTATTTCATTTTTTTTTTAATAGCAGAGTAGTATTCCATTGTGTAGATATACCACGTTTTCCTTATCCACTCATCCAATGATGGGCATTTAGGCTGGTTCCAACTCTTGGCTATTGTAAATAGCACTGCAATAAACATGGGAGAACAGGTAACCCTTCGACATGATGATTTCCATTCCTCTGGGTATATACCCAGCAGTGAAATAGCTGGGTCATATGGTAGATCTACCTGTAATTGTTTGATGAACCTCCACACCATCTTCCATAAAGGCTGCACGATTTTGCAGTCCCACCAACAGTGTAGGAGGGTTCCTTTTTGTCACTGGTATCTCTTAAGATCACATCATATATCCACTTTTTCCTACCAAGTGAGTTCTTCAAGAAAAAGTCAATCATTTGGTGGCTCTAGCAGTTAAGCTAGTTCTAGCATACTGTGAAGATACTTTATTATTGGAATAATAATAATGGGCAAAGAAGAAGGGAGGTCTGAATTCTAAATTATTCTAAGCCCTATAACCCAAGAAAGATTTAGATGTCTGATCTAAATTTTAATTATACAGGGAAAATCTTACTACTCTTTCTGCCTGAGGCTTTTCTCTTTCAAAGACTTTTAACACTGAGAACTAAAAATCAATAATGCAATTATTTCCAGATTTCTCACATAACCCAAGACTTCATCCTGAAACATAAATTCTCTAGCACTGTCCCCTATGAGCAGCATACCTGGTAGAGCCACTTCCACTGGAACGGAACAGCAAGCTTTAGGAGAAATGCAATGATCCTGGTGAAGTATATGTAACACACAATCTATACGAAGAGGAAACAAACAAGAAATAAAATCACCACAGAAATTAGGGCACTACTCTCTTCCAACAATTTGCTTTCACAAAGTAACTATTTCCGTTTCTATGAAACAGAAAACAGAATTACCTGGAGAAAATTATTTGACACTTATAGTTCTAATTAATAAATTCAGCAGAGGGGACTGGCTGGTTAGCTCAGTTAGTTACAGTGCAGCCTTATAACACCAAGGTCATGGGTTCAGATTCCTGTACCGGCCAGCCGCAAAAAATAAAAATAATAAAGTCGGCAGAGAGAGAGATGGCTACTCCAGTCATGACACTACACTTGAAAGGATTTCTTCACTATCTCTAGGTGACCAAGATATTGATAATAGCCATATCCAACAGGGAGGACAAGACACCATAGTATGGTTGCTCTCAACTCTTCCTCACTCTATCCACATACACAACACCTTGATTTCAATCTCCAAAGGGTAATATTTTTTATTCCCAGGTTTTGAAGGATATTTACCAGTAGTAATAGCAAAATAAAGCCACACAGGAAAAATGCTGGCTTTGAGTCTCTTTATCAGCAGATGCTATAAACATTTGAGGTCCATACTCAGAGTACAAATATTACCAAGTACTCTAGCAAGGGAAGATGCCTTCATTTCTTCACTGTGACAAGGACGCAACCTGCTGGCCACTCAAGCACGGACTGCTCACTGGGCCTAAGCTTAGGGTGGCCAGCTTGCAGGCCAGGCCAGACACACTTGGGTTTTAGGCATAAAGGTCTGGAACCCCAGCCCAGCCATCGAGGACCACCTATCATTGTCACCACATCCATCGAGAGGCTTTGGATTGACACCTGTGCCTTTTCTGGTGGCTGACACAAAATCCACAGCAAAAAAAAAAAAAAAAAAAACCTCAAGTGGATCATCTGCCTCTGCTTTTATACCACTGAAGTCTCTAATCTCTGCTCAGGCAAAAGAACTGTCCAAAGTGACAGTGCCAAAACCACAGATGGAAGACCTGTGTGGAAACTTTCTTTTAGGAATCAGGAAGCAAACTCTAGAAGACCCATACCTTATATATTCCAAGAAATTGAGATCCTTACTAATTCATAGCAAGCTCTGTCTTTGGTGCTATGCTTATAGGACTCTTCACGTCCCTCCCAGTCCTGTTTTTAGGTTTTATAAGAACTGCCTCAATTTTTCTGTCCTTAAGAGAAATATTATTACTATGACATGAAACTAGTTTTCTGTGGGGAAATTTGAAAGAAAAAAGAGGTATCTACTCTAATAATTTTGTTTTATTTTATTTAATTAATTTATTTATTTTAAAGATGACCGGTAAGGGTATCTTAACCCTTGTCTTGGTGTTGTCAGCACCACGCTTAGCCAGTGAGCGAACCGGCCATCCCTATACAGGATCCGAACCCAAGGCCTTGGCATTAACACCGCACTTTCCCGACTGAGCCACAGGCCGGCCCTACTCTAATAATTTTAATTGAAAAGAAAAAAGGCTGCAGAAGAGCATTATGATGTGAAGCCATTTTTCTAAATTAGAAAAACAGCAAGTCAAAGGAGCAGCTATGTATGGTACAGGTCTAGAAAAAACCTAGAGGAATAACTACTAAACTGTTAACTTTGGGAAGGGTAGGAAAGGAGGAGGATGGAAGATCAGGCTCATAAAGGCTTGTGCTATATTTCTATAACCCTGCGTCTTTGGTTTTGGGTTGCTGGGGGGTTTTTTTTGTTTGTTTGTTTGTTTCTTTACATCAAGCATATATTACTTTTCTAAGTATTTAAAGTCAAATTTAAAACTAAAACTTAAAAAGAAATAATTCAAATATTTAATTTCCCATCCTAAGGGACACAATTTGATTTGTAAAATGAAATCCATACAGCTCCAGGAAGCACATCACCTGCTCTCACCAATTGTTTGGAAGTTCACTTGCCATACTCCTTGAATTGACCTTATTTACAGATTTAGGATTTTTTTTACTCACCAAGACGTAATAATGTCTGAAAAGTTTCAGCTTTGCTAAGTTAATAGCAGCTAGGGAGAAGAAAGAACAAAATGAAAGGCTCATTAACCTCTTTTCTCATCTTTAAAATCAAGTCCTGTTCAGGTACTTCTTGGTCAAGAGGCTAATGGATGAATCCATGTATCTGGAAACAAATCCACTAGGCAGGCTCTCCCCCCAACCACCAAGAAGCAAGGGAGCTGTGGGAGCTGGCCTGCACCGGCAACTCAAGGGCATCTCTCACTCTGGGGTCAGCAGCTTTAAACCAGCCATGGTGGGAGTTGCAGATGCTACAAATCAGGACTCCCCCACCAGACAGCCAGCATGAACTATTTCAGTGCTGCCACTGCAGCTGACAGAGCTGTACCCTCCACTAGCACCAGTCTCAGGTTGGTCCCAGGGCACCGACTGGGGGAGCCTCCCACTAGCTGAGAGTGTAAATGTAATTAACCCTCAGGTGCGTTTTGCAAATTTCACTTAAGTTTTCATTTAGTGCCTTGTAATAAGCCCTTAATTTTTTTTTTATCTTGTCTACTTTTCCTGATAATATAAACATACTTTGTAATTATTGATTGCTTTGTATATCTTTTTCTATTCTGTCAACATATGTATCTCATATCTATGATACATATTTAATAATGTGTCTCTTGTAAAAATACAACCTCCCTGGCTGTGTCCTACCTTCCTGAATGCTCAAGGTCAGCAGAGCCAGGACAGCTAACTTCCTGACACTGTCTTTGGCTATGAAATATTGATGACCAGAGGGTAGCCTGGCTCCCTCCCTTATTAAGCAAGCTTTTCATTCATCATAAACCTTCCTGCAGGAGGCAAGTTAATTTTGCATAATAGCTTTCAATTACTGATTCAGTTTAGGAATGAGACTGTGGGTAGTGAAGTTTCAAAGTTCCTCTTCCTCCCCTTCTGGCTCATGATTAGCAAGGGCATCAAACTTAGGATTCCAAAAGAAATTCCTGGAACCATAAATTATCTTCACATGATTATCTACTAACAAGTTATCTGCAGGAACCTCATCTGAGAAACCAAACATGTTGATGAAGACATGTTCAGCAAGTCTTTCTGCAAAATTCTGACTCAAAGTTAGAAGATAGAACATCTACATCTAGAGTTGCAGTGGAATACTGTGCCACCTTCAGAAGCAGTTGGAGGTCATAGGAGAATGTTGTAGAGAACAGGTGAGTTCAATCTTTCGTAATCTCTTTACTTGATTTCTACAAAAAGCAAATATGAGACAACAAAGTCCTGGGAATTGAGTTGAATTGCATATATTAATACAGCAATTGCTGTCTGAGGCCAACTCAATGCCAGGGTCAGCGTGTGCACTTAGGGACACTGGGTCCTCTACTTTAGGAGCTGTAGGCAAGACTAAACTCTCAATACCCAGGCTATAGATGTGACATACTCTTTCTTTTCTCAATCAAATCACAGCTTAGGCTGCTCTAGAGATGGTGAATTATGGGTGTCCAACAGAAATAGAAGGTGACCCACCTATGTAACTATAAGTTTTCTAGTAGCCAAACTAAATAAAACAAAAGGAACCAAGTCAAAATGATTTCAACTGACAAAACGTTTTAACATTTCAACATGGTTATACACAGATGATACAAACATTTCCAAAAATCCTAATAAGAAGGTTTAGAGTTGCAATGGACACACACACACACACAACATCTAAGAAAATGAAATTACAGGAGGCAGACTGGCAAAGGTTTTCTCATGTAGCAACCTCATTGGCAGTCCTGTTATTATTATTATTTTAAAAATTAAATCTCCCTGGTTTTCATCCCTTTTTTCATTCAGTCAATACAAACTTACATTATTTTCAAGCCAGGCCCTGGGCTTCTGCCCCTGGGCAGCTGCCATCCCATGGGGAGGCTGGGGCACTGAGGCTCGAGCTATACACACACACACACAAAAAAAAAAAACACGCTGCCAGGAGAATGTAATCAGGCACTCTGCCTCATCTGGAGGATGGGAAAGGCTCCACTGAGAAGACATGAACACTGAGAAACAACAGATAAATAAAAGTTCCCAAGGATTTCAAACTGTGCCCGTCCATACGACCCTTTTGTATTCCTTTATGTGTGCAGGTCTCCCACTCACCCTGGTGGTGGTCAATGAATGATCAGCTCATACTGCACTCTGCCCCCTAAAACCAGCTTACCCCAACAGGAACTGCAGCCCTCCCAAACAAGCCAATACTTCCTTAACATGACCACTCAATTCTCTTCTTTGTGAATAACTGAGAAAAAAAACAGCACCAACAATTAGACTGTTTAAATAAAAATGATTTAAGTCTCTTCTGAATTTTGCTTGCTGAAATGAGTCCTGATAAATCAAATCCTACCTTGCTTCACTGAGAACTGTCAGCCAGACAGAGAAGTGTCTTGTTTTTCTTCCTGGATTTCAAGTTGCCATGACAGGAAGAAGCATGGGCTCCCAACCCAGACCAGGGAGAAGGGATGACAGAGAGGGTTTTGCAAAGGGCCTGAATGGAGCTCAGGGGTGAGCCAGCTTCACATATCAGGGAAGCAAAAGTAGCTGAGCCAGGCTAAGAGTAAAGCCAAAATTTAAGTAAGATCTGAAGACCATGAGCTTATCCTCCTTGTTGGTTCGGAGGACCCCAGGGAGCCTCCGAAGGGTAGTAAGCAGGGCAGTGCCATAATCACATCTATGCTTTAAAATAATTTCACTGTGCAGAAGGATGGAGAGAAACAAGAGTAAGAGCCCAACTGAGGTCAGAGACCATGAATCTGTGGAGGCCCCTCTAAAAGGTGGTGAGATATTTTTCTAACAATGTAGAGCAATCAAGTTGCAGACAGGGGCGGTGAACAATAGGCTGATCCCACCCTGGCATTTGGCTGGGGGAAAAGAAAGGATAACAAGGTCCTAAAGTTGAGGACAAAGAAATCATAAGGCAAAGCCTTATGGTGGTCCCTTCCCTTTCATGGGGAAGGAAATGAGGCTGGGGTTGGCAACTGAGAAAAAACAGAGGGGTCAAGGCACTGCAGGTGTAAAGGGTTAAGGAGCAAGCATGTGAGAGCTAGGGAGTGGAAGGCGTGACACATGGCATTGTGTGCCACCATGTCACACCCTCCAGGCTGAACTTAAGACATGCTCTGAAGGGAGGCAGACTATAAACCTCTCCTTAGATAAGCCTATATGCCCCATATCTGGGCACCAATGAAGAAATGTCACCACGACATGTGCTGGGGCTGACATATGGACCTCGGGGACAACCAATGTTAACTCTGGGGAACACAGCCACAACAAGCAGAGCTTTTGGTTGTTACCAAAATCTACTAGGCATGCGTACATCATTTCCAGTCACACACAAGGCATTCAGACTGCTGCTCGTGGGGATCAGGCTACTGAGGCGCACACTGGTATTCTAGTCACAGCTGAGGCAGTGAAGGTAGGAAGTCAGCTTACTTAGTAGAGTAAGAAACAGGAAAGCAGAGTGGTTAAGAGCGCAGGCCCTGCACATCTGAATATCCTGGGTTCAAATTCCAACTCTGCTACTTACTGGCTGTGTGACCTCAGATAAGTCACCTAAGCTCTCTGAGCCTCAGTTTCTTCATCTGTTAAGACAGGAATAACAACATCTAACCTTAGGGCTCTTTGAGGAATTAATGAGACAATACACAGAATGCAAACAGCACACACAGTAAGCACTCAAATGTTTGATGTTACAATATTACTATTATATTAAAATTATATGGGATTATCCCAATACCAAAGGTGGCATATGTTGTATCACAGTGGCTGCCACATCTGGCAAGAATCCAGACTCTGGTAAGTAAAACTGGAACATATGGGGACCTGGGGCTGCCAGTGAACCCCAGGCTCTCCTGGAAGCAGCTCTGTCATATGCACATGATGAGTAAGGATGCTGAGCAGGGGATGAACCAGCTCTGGGGAGAAGCTTCACCAGCATTATGCAATGGGCAGCAACACAGCAGGTCACAGCCTGGAATCCCAAGCCTCCTTCTGCTTTTCTCCCAAAGATTTCCCTAGAGTCAAGTAAGAACACTGATGGCTTGCTGCTCACTTGACCAGGGGGCTGGCATCCCACAGGAGTGAAGGCTCACCAAGGCTGGGCTAGCTATTTCTGACCCCACCATGAGAAGCAGCAAATATGGTAAAAGAATGAGCATGGGGAGAGGAAAAATGTCCCAGGTAGGAGCCTGCATTCCGGTCCTGCACCTGCATAACTCCGTGTGCCTGCCCCTGGCCTGCCTCTTCCTTCTCAAGGCACCCCTCTCCGCATATGGAAGAAAATTTCTCTATGGTGGATTAGGATTGCTTCATAGCAATGGTACATAACCAGAGTGAACACCAGAATGGCCTGCAGAGCTTTACTGCAGTACAGATACCAGGCTGCCCCCATTCTAAAAAGATTTTGAAAATCTTCCGGGGAGTGGAGGAGATGGACTGGGCACAGGAGAGGGATATCCCACCCACCTGCTCTTGGAGCTCCTAAAGGCTGACCTCTTGTGGATTCTGCTTTCTCTCACTTACTCTTAGGAGAATGACCACGACTCTGGATTTTGGTAAGGACTTTTTACTGAGAACAGAACAGGAGCGCAGTGAGGCAGGAAGTTCCACAGCCCTTGCAAATGCTTGACAGGTCAACGCACTCTCTCTGACCCAGCAGCACAAGAGCCAATGAGCACCATCTACAGGAGATGCTGCCCCTTTCCTAGACTGTCACCTCTCTTGTTTAGGTCAAAGAGGAAGCAGGCCAGCAAAGAGACAGATCAAACCCTCCAACCCCCAGCTGACTGCCCTGGATGGTCTTGGAACCATGACAATGACAAAAACAAAAGCATTGGTCATCACCATCTACTGAGTGATCACCATGTGCCAGGCACTGCCAGGCACCTCTTAACGCCTCATCTCACATTAACCTCTATGACGGAAGGGGCACTGTCTCACAGATGAAGGACTCAGGCCTGGAGAAGTTTAGTAAACTACCAAAGTCACACGGCTTTGTAAGTGGAGAAACCAATAC